TTTGACTTGGTTATGCCTCGGCAACGGATACATAAGAGAAGTAATACAAAGAAACATGCTGGCCATTAAGAGCCGATGGCTGGACGGGGTTTATGAAATAAAGGTAAGGATGGAGAAAGACGCACAAAAGTGTTTAGTGAATCAGAACAACATTCACTATAGGTATGTGCTCGGCTTCGCGCTACCGTATAGATTACCACAGCCCTAAGGTAGAAGAACAAGAAAACGAGTCACAGAATGCTTTGTCTATAAGAAGGAAAGTTATAGGCGAAGAACTCGATGTGGGAAAAACTCAGACGATGCTGGAGTGTGGTTTTGGTGCAAGAGGGCAGCATTCGGTCACAAGAATAACGACGGCGCAAGGCGGGGAAATGGGGCACGGCTCACAATCGAGCTAGTTTCCGACCTAAAATAATCTTGTGTATTTCTAATGCCACGTTCTGATTGGCTCCCCGTGGTACACAGTGCCAGTGAGTCATGCTCCGCTTGGTGTAAAGTCACTACAAGTGTATATGCCTCCCTTTATGCAAACTAACTCAAAATTTACGGCCAATGTTAAGAGGATGGTATATTCACGTAACCATGACGAAAGGAATAACATTCTTCCCAAGTATACCCACGCAATACGAAAAGGTAGGCAAATTGGATTGTTCTGGAGTTTACGACATAGCAGGCGGGATCTGCAAACAGAAATATATTGACTATACCGGAAGAAAAATCAGCATGCAAATCAAGGAAAATCAAAGGCTCTGTGGGAAAATTGAATCTGAAAGATCAGATGTAGCATCACAGAGACTGGACACGAGATCAACAGAAAGAAGGTCCTCATACGGTGATAGCTCAATTAAACTTAAGATTAAGGAGACCATTGACATCCTTGGGGAAATAAATGTACAGGAGATTGGAAGAAGGCAGAGTTAGCGATGACTTCATAACAACCCTAAACATGATTCAACGTTAGAGGATCGTACACTAGTTTATTTGAATAAGGAAACAGCTGCTACCGAACGTACTTCTGGATCGTGCATTAACTTCACTCATTGCAAGCTTGTAGAGTGAGGTTGAAATAGCCAAGCAAATCATGGAATGCGTCATTAAGATCGCCAAGTTAGGCGTATAAAAAGGGACTAGAGTTACAGTCTTTTTCTTGATTTCGTATATTTTGGCTCTATTTCGTAAAGTTTGGATCCTTGCTCTAATGATGTCTGTCGCATCGATAGCTTAGCACAGTTGCATCGGGGTCGCAGGACGGTAAGCCGAGGACTTGGCACAGTACAACAATCTTACGCGCAATCTTCCCACGGTTTCTGGTGGGCTCACATCACGAATTCCTTCTAACCAAATTTTCATTAGAAATGGAAAGCCATGTTACATTATATGACTAAGGGATTATTCAAAATCAAGTTTATCTTATTATTTTAGCGATTACCAGACCTATTGCCTAAGCAGATTCGGAAAAAACAGGGATACGACAAGACAAGCAAAAAGGAGACGCTTGGATCAAGGATATACCGTTAACCAGACGAAAAAGGATCGCAAGGAAGAAGTGGGTGAGCAAGATTCGGAAATCAAGCAAAGACGTTTTCAGTGAATGGAGTATGCTCTAACAAACAACTACAACTTTGGGGGCCTGGAATTCACGCGATTAATCCGACGGATAATCACAATCGTCGGAAAAATTCGGCCTTAGCCAAATTGACTAGAAATCCATTTGATGGATGGCAGGCGACCAGAGATAGCGTGCATAGTTTGCTCAAGTTAAACAGGTTTAATCAGGGAGATGTTGCGCGAAAGCAATGCCTGATATCCGAAAACATAGGAATCACAGCCTAGGTGCTCTGAAAGTGTGACCACATTACTTGAGGATAGCACCTCGAGTATAACTTATACTGGTGCTGGAATCGAGTGAAATTGGCCAACCATAAAGAGGAAACTAATCTACAGGCCATGATATGGCGAGAGTAAGACAAGAGGGTATGGAGTAGATAGAGGGGCCAGTATAGAAAGATGAGTGATGGCACAACCATTTTGTCAGAAAGTTGGTCAGGGGATTGACTTTATTTGTCTCTGACGCGTAGCTTGGTGCAGAGAGTGGCAAGACTCATTGGTGATGCCGGTGAAACGTCTGGGATTGTATCAAGTCCACGTTCCGACGTTGGGAATTATGGTAGCTACTATAGCGGAGGACTTCGGACAACGTACGTCCAAGTCGTCCTGGCGATACGACCAAGTTGAGAAAAAGAGTTCAGACCACATATATACGCCGAAGAGAGACTGATCAAAATAGAGGCCACGACATCTTGGCGTTCGTATCTACGTTCAAGAAATTTATTTTTCTCAAATCACCATCCACATGCCTGCCGGTGTGGGGGATTCATACTTTCTAAATGGGCTAGCACACTCATGAACAAAAATGTACACAAATGCGCCCATTTACATCTGCATATCCTTATGTGCCCGAATGTATGCGTGTTTCCGCGCCATAATATCTTCACAGATATTTATCATATATTTGCCTATACCTAACTTTTATCCTTATTTATCCTCTTTGTGTGCAGGCACAATCGATGGTTGAGCTAGTTGGGGAGCTTCTGCGTCTTCGAGTCATTTTCAGACACGAGCCTTCAACTCAAACTGTTCGACTTTGTCCTAATCAGCATGCCTGTATGTGGAACACCAAACGATCACTGTATCGTGAAGCTCTCTTCCTATTACTTGCGGCCCATGGTCCCGCCGAAGTCGATATTGGTAAGTAAATAATCGGCTGTTTCTCAAAGATAAATTATTATGCTTGGAGACTTTAAAGATAATTTTGGCATTGCTGACTTATGGTTCCAGGGAAATAATTCACAAACCTGGTTACATTGAATATATGTGACACTTAATCGTTACCACCTGTTCCATTTAAGCGACACGAATAAATGCCCTTCTAATTTCAATTCATCTCTCAGCACTTATAGAAATGATTGTACCAATTTTACAATTTTCGAACCAACTTAAAGCGTAATTTACTCATTGCTATGATTCTACATTTGGCTGTCACTATAAGTTATCTGTTGTGACTAGTATCACATGCATTTGTATTTATGCAGTTTCAAGATCAGCACTCATCTGGTTTCATGAAGGATATTTTTGGTTTTTAGTTTTCCGAAGAGCATATAGACTGACTCTAAAATATAAAACGCTTGCATTCTACAACTCCAAAGTTGGATGCTCCAAAACGAAGAGAAAAAAGAGGAAAAATAGTGTTACTAAGTGTCCTATTTAGAAAGGACTGACAATAGAAAGATAATCATTGAAAGGCGGCGCGAAATAGAAAAATCTGAATCCCGCGGGCCACAGCAGAGGGGAGAAAAGGAAGGAAGAATACGTGACCGATCTAAGCAGGATGTTAGCTACCTGCGTGATCTTCTACATCAACTTCTGATCAGATGATGCGGTGCCAAGCCTTAATTAGTCAACGCGAAATAAAGTGAA